CGCTCCGCGGCCGCGGGAGGTTGAGGAAGGAGGTGATCGAGGTGGAGAGGAGGAGGCACAGCAGGCTGCAGAGTGGGTATCGCTGGCGCGGATGTCATCAGAGTGGTTTGCGGCACTTCGGTGATACTGGGGCCAGTGACACTGAAGAGCCCGGAAGAGGTGCAGGGTATCCTGGGCCTGCCAGGCCAAAGATACGTCCTATAGAGAAAGAAGGTAGGGAAAGATAGGGAAGTTAAGCTAAGCGGACAAGCCCAATTATTGGCTAGAGTCAATCAACGGTGGGCTTTTCAAATTGAGCCGCGATGTTTTCCTTCCTCTATTCACATGTAAAATTTTTTATATATACGTCGGTTGGCCTACTTCGCCCATTGTAAACCGATTTTTATCCCCTATTTGTTTATTTGAACTACAATGAGGTCATCAGTGCGCGACGCTAGCACCGTTTTGAAAGCAGTCCAATTGGGTCTATTTTTGACGAATTTTCCAAAGACATGCATCCTCGATGCCGACAACTGCAGTCTTTCACAATAATGGATTGCTTTTGATTTCTCGGTGTTGTGAGTTTGTGCGCCTAATTTTATTCCTTGTGAATGAAGGACTTTTTTGCTGAAAATTTTGGAATGATGTTTTCAAAATAAAGCGTATCTCTCCCTCTCTCTCTCTCTCCCTCCCTCAAGTCAAAACAGCTATTCCGGGGAGCACGAAGGCATTGTTTTTATTTGAAATTTCCCCCAACCAGGCTATTTGCCGTGCTGCCTCCGTCGTATTTTTGGGGATAAGCTTGAGTTAATTTCTTAGGCTCATAATACTTAACTACCTTCTTCAACAGAAGACGGTCTTGGGCTGCTAATGGTAACAGTAGCAGAACGAAGAGCCTGATTCAAGAGAGGACACAGCAAGTGCAGTTTACTGAAAAGGAAATATAAATGGCTGCCACTAAAGACACGAATGGGGGTTATGCGAGCTCTTTAAAGACATCTCAAAGCAGATGCGAACATAAAGCTATGGAGAGCACTTAAAACACACAGTGTATTTGGTTTGGTGTCCAAACATGTAACTGTTAACGGAAAATTTAAATCTTCCCTGTCTTTGCATCGCGGCAATCGATAGCGACAGTTCTAGGAGGCGGGTAATTGAGGCCGAGCACTACAACCACGTTGATAAAACGCTGCAAGTTTCCAGGACGGAGATTATGGCATGGCAATGGAACTGGCTGAGCCCAGCTCCTGATGAAAACAAGCAACCCCCACACAGAAGAGCGAGTTGAAGAAAAGGCAGCCACCCACCCTTCAAGGAGACAAAATCAGTACCTGCAGTTGAAATGCGTGCTCGCGAAGAGCCACAAGGAATGTGCGCAGGGTGTTGTCCTCGACAGTACCGACCGAGCGGTTCAGAGCAGACAGAGGAGAGATTTGTTGAGCCATAAGACTCGAGATCACTTGGGGCGCGTGCTGACTCTGCAGAAGGTTGAGAAGACGTCGGCTGGCGCAATTCAACAGTCGTCGGTAGACTCCGGCTGTAGGCGCGACCTCCGAATCGACTGCGTTGGCTGATGAGAAGGGCAAATGGTTTTGGTCCGGCCCGCTAAATGTCATAGAAAAAGCAGCGCACGCACCTACAAAGTGATATAAATGAAACATAAAACAACCACTCCTTGCAGTAGAAGGCGCAGCATCAGCTGACGATGAAAGAAGGTTTATTCGACCAGTCAACAACAACGCACTATTAGACGAAATGACTGCAAAACGTTCACGCTGGGAGGATAAAAAGAAACTGGAAGACGGCAGCCAAAATAACATACGTTGGAAAAAGACAGTGTCTACAGTCAAAGTCAAGTGGGTGCGAAGTGGTTGACAAAGGGCTCAGTCAGAGGGAGATGTGCTGGACTAATACGGGGGCTAGATGAGGCACGGCACATATTAATTCGACTGCGCACGCATAAAAAGGACTATTCACCGGAGAGGTAGGGATGGGGGGAGAGTGTAGTGGCACGCCTGGGTATAGGCTCACGTCGCATTAGTCACCTGTGCCTAATCTTCGCATTAGATGGCAGATGAAATGGTGTCTGGGAAGAGGACGAAAGAGTGGGGTCAACTCTAAGGCTCCGCCTCCATGGCCCATATTCCTCACTACAACCAATCGGAAGCACCATCAGTACACGCTGAAAGTCGTGGATCAGAAGGTTACCAACTGAACTGGTAACGCGGTTCTCGTGTCACGACGGAGTCAGGCTGTAATGACACCACCTGAAGGTGGCCTCCATAGCACTCCCACTGAC